TTTGATTTACTGTTGTGCCCCAGTGAGAGTGGTGTAGTTCGTTTTCTTTGATTTACTGTTGTGCTCTAGTGAGGGTGATGTAGTTCGTTATCTTTGATTTACCTTATATCTAGTTATTCTGGTTCACAGCAAAACAAGAAAATGGGATCTTGCAGACTTTCAGTCTCGTATGACAGAGTTCTTCGGGCATCTACTAATAAAACCAATCGAGCCATCCAGTAATTTGGAAAAGATGGTGTGTTCTACCACACTGAGAAATGGATTGTATACAAGAGTAAAACTGGTCAACATAGACTTCTTCAACCTCAGCTCACAACTATTTTCATGAGACAGCTTATCTCTGTTACAGCATCTGACTGATGACAATAGCTGCCTTCCAAGATGTCATATTTGGACACTCCTTCCAGACAACCACTGAGAGAACTACAGCCATGTTGCATCTGTTGTACCTCCTTATGAGGGCTCAACTCTAAATTGGTATTAAATTCAACACTTGTGACTGCCTCATGTGGAAAGAAAACTTGAATAAATTAGATAACCTTGTCTATTTTCCATGCCAGTATACAACCAAATCCACTTCCAACTACTGGTCGACTAGCCCTCTTCAAATACGGTGTTCATGCTGACACATGGGATGAACCTGGTTAAAAAAATCTACAAAACGATAAATCAATCTCTCTGCCATTGCAAGTAAGGATATGATCTGATGTATATAGAGAGAATAGATACATTGTTCTGATAGGACAAAAATGGTAATGTCAAACACAGCAGTCTCACTAGGTTACTGCAACAGCTCTGTACATCCTATAGGTTTACTTAAACAACACATATCATGACAATATTTCTCAAGATAAAGTTTTCCCATTGTCAAAGATAATGAACTACACCACCCTCACTACAGCACGACAGTAAATCAAAGATAATGAACTAAACCACCCTCACCAGAGCACAACAGTAAATCAAAGATAACGAACTACACCACCCTCACTAGAGCATGACAGTAAATCAAAGATAACGAACTACACCACCCTCACTAGAGCACAACAGTAAATCAAAGATAATGAACTACACCACCCTCACTAGAGCACGACAGTAAATCAAAGATAGCAGCAGTATTCCCCTCTTAGAACTTTGTTTCCTGATGTAAGTTTCCTTCTTTATTCTTTTCACAGATTTGAAGACATTTTGTTGAGTCAAGGACACAGTAACTGTTGACTTTTTCAATATTCTGACAGTGGTTCTGTTACCAGTGGTAATAGTAAGTTAACTGTGAATTTTTCAGTCACATGTTAGTGTGAATATCAAACTTGATGATGGGGGGGGGACCCACTTTTTAGAAAATAAATTTTGGAGATAGCGAAAGAAACTTTATTACAAATGTACAACGTTTCAACAAGCAACAGGTACACAAAACATTCCATCTGTTAAAGTAATACAAGTGTATGCACACACACAAAAAATATCACAAACATAGAAAGCTTTAGTTACATTAATTTAAAAGGCTATAACAAAGGTAATATAACATAAGACTCTTAGATATGTTCACATTAATGTTATGTTTCTCATCCTTTTGTAGAGCTGTGGACAATGATGAATTTCTGATTAAGCATATAAATACACACTCTCTCCTATCTCTGTGATCTTGAAAGCTATAGTTAACAGTATAATAAATACTAAACTAAGGCAGTACTCTATTCAATACTTTTAATTTGGCACAAAATATATCATGCTAGTGTTGCCTGTAAAATAATTTACATTTCAACTGAAGTTCAACTCTGGCCATTAGCATGTTGTGATACAAAGGTTTGTGGCACAGCTCACTGTAGAAGAGTCAGCAACATGATGTAGCTGTCGATTCCAATACATTAGGTTAAAGAAAAAAACCAGTACATAATACTGCCAGAATAAAATTATTATTGTATCCTGTGTAAATTCTGAAACTGGGTAACAAAATTGTGTTGTGTTTGTAGTTGTTTTGTTTTCTTAAAAAAGTGAATTTTTTTAACTAGTTAACATCATAAACATTTTTTCTCTTATACATAAATTATAAATTCTGTAACTTGAGAATTTTATACAATGTTTAGGTCATTACAACATTTTGATACATCAACTGAGTGACGTGATAAGTTTTTTATTGTGTTTTGTTTTTGCAGACTTACCCACCTTTTCCTAACACAGAAGCTATGAGCACCAACCCTCTTGACTACGAGCATGCACGCAAAATACTTTTAGATATAAATGATGGAAAACAAAGTAACCAGGAATCTCGGGTGGTGAGTACCTTTTGGGGATAAAGTATGTCTCTTTTTTTGTGTGAAGTTAATTAATATTTTTCAACTAAATGTGTAATGAAAGGATGCTGGTATCACTATTATTCAAGTTTTTAGAATAGATTCACATTTGTGACACAGTAAAGTCCCACTAAAATTATCTTACATTTGTGACACAGAAATGTAAGATACTTTTAGTGGGACTTTACTGTGTCACAAATGTAAGATAATTTTAGTGGGACTTTACTGTGTCACAAATGTAAGATAATTTTAGTGGGACTTTAGTGACACAGTAAAGTCCCACTAAAATTATCTTACATTTGTGACACAGTAAAGTCTCACTAAAATTATCTTACATTTGTGAAACAGTAAAGTCTCACTAAAATCATCTTACATTTGTGACACAGTAAAGTCTCACTAAAATTATCTTACATTTGTGACACAGTAAAGTCTCACTAAAATTATCTTACAAGTGTATTAGTATAATATTACAGTTATTAGTGTGATACCAATAAAACTAGAAGTAGTGTGAAAAAATGGCATAAAAACAAATTACTGTTACCAGGAAAGAACCATAGGTACCATTCTGGTTCCATGATAATTACATACAGGTGTTATGAGGATTACTTAGAGGCACCATGACAACATTATAGAGATAATTACGAGTACTATGTAAGCTACCCACACATAGAGTGAGAATTTAAATAGGTATGTGAGAGCAAGGTGAAGGTTTACAAGTTCATTATTATTATTTTTAACAGGTAATTAATTTTTTAAATTCATCAGTGACCGTGAAAAGGAATTAAAGTAATTAAGCTTGCTTTGTATCTTTAAGTTGATGATATATTCCACTGATTGTTACCAGGTATTACTGATGATATATTTCACTTATTGTTACCTAGGTATTACTAATGATATATTTCACTGATTGTTACCTAGGTATTACTGATGATATGTTTCACTGATTGTTACCTAGGTATTACTGATGATATATTCCACTGATTGTTACCTAGGTATTACTGATGATATATTCACTAACTGTTACCTAGGTATTACTGATGATATATTTCACTAAATGTTACCTAGGTATTACTGATGATATATTTTACTGATTGTTACCTAGGTATTACTGATGATATATTCCACTAACTGTTACCTAGGTATTACCGATGATATATTCCACTAACTGTTACCTAGGTATTACTGATGATATATTTCACTGATTGTTACCTAGGTATTACTGATGATATATTTCACTGATTGTTACCTAGGTATTACTGATGATATATTCCACTGATTGTTACCTAGGTATTACTGATGATATATTCCACTGATTGCTACCTAGGTATTACTGATGATATATTTCACTGATTGTTACTTAGGTATTACCGATGATATATTCCACTGATTGTTACCTAGGTATTACTAATTATATATTTCACTAACCGTTACTTAGGTATTACTGATGATATATTCCACTATGCATTACCTTAACACACCTATGTATTCATCAGATCATCTTGTATTTTAGATCTGGTTGACAGAAAGTTTCCACCTTATCCAGACATTTCCATCTTCATGTGATACAACATAATAAACATAAAACATACTTACATACAGCTTCCCACTCAGCTTTAGAAAGAGTTCCCTGAGGGAGATGAGAAAGTGGCTTTCAATTATTAGTACAAACCTAGTCCTTACTGTCACTGTTTTATCATTTTGTATTATTTAAATATTTAATATCTCATAAATATGCTTAGAACTGACATTGTACACCCTGATAAAAAACATCGCCATGTTAGGAGGTAAATAAAAATGTGGATAGAAAACATCCATCGAGATACCCCCACTGATATTTGATGGTAAAAATATAATACACTAACAACACCAACGTATGTCTGTAATAGAACACCTGGCTTGTAACAGTGCCAGTTAGAACACCTGGCTTGTAACATGTGTCACTTAGAAGATTTTACTTGTAACAAGTGTCACTTAGAAGATTTTACTTGTAACAAGTGTCACGTAGAAGACTTTACTTGTAACAAGTGTCACTTACAAGACTTTACTTGTAACAAGCGTCACTTAGAAGACTTTACTTGTAACAAGCATCACTTAGAAGACTTTACTTGTAACAAGCATCACTTAGAAGACTTTACTTGTAACAAGTGTCACGTAGAACACTTTACTTGCAACATTATCAGTCAGAACACCTGGCTTGTAACAAGTGTCACTTAGAACACTTTATTTGTAACAGTGCCAGTTAGAACACCTGGCTTGTAACTTAGAGCACTTTACTTGCAACATTATCAGTTAGAACACTTGGCTTATAACAAGTGTCACTTAGAAAACTTTACTTGAAACATTATCAGTTAGAACATCTGGCTTTTTTTATGTCAGTTGTAATAGTGTATTATATTCCTCCCATAAGAAACCAGTAGGGTATACTCATTGGATCACCCTCTATCTGGCAAAGAAAGAAATTATAACGTGCAAACCAGTAGGATATACTTATTGGATCACCCTCTGTGGATTATAATTCGAATTTTAGTATTACACATTAATTAATATCTTATTTAAAAGTAAAATAACCCCTTAAATATTGATTTTTGCTTGTCATGTGGCATGTTGAATATAAAATAAGAACCTCCTATCTTTTCTATTTTCTGAGATATTAATATATTTATTGAATCAACCAAGGTGGCCCCGCCCACCTCTTCCATTTTTGAAAATACTTCTTTCTTTGCCAGATTAATAATATGAAGAAAACATATTAAACAAAAGTTGAGATGCACATATTGAGTTTCTACAATAGAACTATCTTCTCTGGCTTCTAACAAAACTAATTTTCCTGCAAGATGAATACAAGCTGCTTTTTGTTTTATGGAAGTATACTGACATTGACTTAAAAGACATAATAGTAATACTGAGAAGAAAAAAAATTAAAAAATGTACACTTAACCATAAACTGGTACATACAATTAACACTGTTTAATCTAAATTTTAAACTGAATCATTTCTAAGCTTTGAATATAAGTATCACATGTTTGTACCAAATTATACCTCATAGACTGCAAACCATGTTAACCCTACCAAGATGGGTCTTCCTATGGTCACGGGTCGAAAACCATGTCATTGCATTTGTACTCACATTCGAAATTTTATTGAACTACTATTTTATGAATGTATGTCAATAAGTTTGGTATCAAATTCTCATGATTTGGTTTATTAACAATTAATTTTTCATGGTCATTTAAAGTTGTATTGTTAAGTTTTTTTAATGCATATCAAATGGTTATTTGTTCTTATGGTGTAACAGAAAACTTTTACAGATTTTCGTTTTTTTACAGCTCTTTATTTGGTGTTTGCTTTTGTGAAAGGGAACTCCAACAATGAAGAAAATATTTCTACACACTGCCCAGAGCCAAAAGATAGCTAGTCAGCAAAGATGTTTTAAACATCTAAAGGAAAATAAAGCACAGTGGTGGTAGCAGCCATCTCTGGAAGTGTTATTTGTCCCTTAAGATCTTCAACTTGATACTGAAAAAAAAAAACATTCCAATCGTATAAGTAGAGCGTGCAGTCGTATTTTAATGTTGAAATAGGAATGAATCTGCATATTGACACCTGTAAATAAATCTTTTGTTTCCCTTTAACGTTTCAAAATGTAGAATAAATTCTTCACAGCTTAATATCTTGTAAATCAAATATATTCGTTGTTATTTTACCACTCATAAAAAGCAAACAAACACTTTATTGTGTTATTACTGCACTATTTGATCTGTAACTCACAATGCCTGGTTTTACTGTGGGTCAACTGTCTCAAGTTAAACCCTTGAAAATAGAAACATAATTGTAGTAAGAATACAACTAGTCTATTAGTTGTGAGGCAGAAGTAATTCTTTATACGAATCAACAACAAAAGTATGTTATTTTGAATGTGTAGATATTGGACTGTATCACATTACTCATGTTGAAACATGAAATACTGTATTTATATCCTGGGTATTGTTGGACTGCATCACATTACTCATGTTGAAACATGAAATACTGTTTTTATATCCTGGGTATTGTTGGACTGCATCACGGTGATCATGTTGAAACACGAAATACTGTTTTTTATCCTGGGTACTGTTGGACTGTATCACATTACTCATGTTGAAACATGAAATACTGTTTTTATATCCTGGGTATTGTTGGACTGTATCACATTACTCATGTTGAAACACGAAATACTGTTTTTTATTCTGGGTATTATTGGACTGCATCACAGTGATCATGTTGAAACACGAAATACTGTTTTTTGATCCTGGGTATTGTTGGACTGTATCACATTACTCATGTTGAAACATGAAATACTGTTTTTATATCCTGGGTATTGTTGGACTGCATCACGGTGATCATGTTGAAACACGAAATACTGTTTTTTGATCCTGGGTATTGTTGGACTGCATCACAGTGATCATGTTGAAACACGAAATACTGTTTTTTGATCCTGGGTACTGTTGGACTGCATCACAGTGATCATGTTGAAACACGAAATACTGTTTTTTGATCCTGGGTACTGTTGGACTGCATCACAGTGATCATGTTGAAACACGAAATACTGTTTTTTTATTCTGGGTATTGTTGGACTGTATCACATTGATCATGTTGAAACATGAAATACTGTTGTTTTTTTATCCTTTCTGCTGAAGTTTTCATAAGATTTGAAGCTGAAATTTCTTATGATGGTGTCCAATGTTATTACTAATTTTAGAGTAGAGGTAGAAATTGCCCCCCCCCCCCCTTTTTTTTTTTTCTCTGACAATACAATTCCAAGAATATGTTGTTTGTGTAATGAAATGTCTCTCAGGTCCTATTATTTACCATCATTACATAAAAAAATATTACTTTGATTAATATTAATAACAAGCATGTCTGTTTCTCAACTTGAACTAAACCAAAACGTGGAATTATATATGAATGTGTGTGGAACAGTAACCTATAAATCAGTTATAAAACATATTTTGAATAGTAAAATATATAGTTCATAATTTTGCAACAGATTTTTTTCGTGTTTAAACTGTAACTTTTAACAGTTTTTGTTTTTCAATGAGTAATTGGATCACTGTGTGGTAAATGTTTTGGAAGTTGTCTTTCGTACCCTTCATAAAGGTTTTTATGTTTGGAAAACCTTTTACCATACATTTTGTTGAAATAACATGTGCTGAACAAGAGTTGTTTTTTTAAATTAGTATAAAAAAATTAAAGAATACTCAAAAAGAGGGAGATTAGCACTAATTAGGTGTTTGAATAATGAAATTTAAAAACCTTTTAAACAGTTCCTAAGCCTTGTTCCCGCTATTGAATGAATGAAATCGGTACTTAGGCTAAGTGGTTTTTCGTCATGAGGCTGTTGTCACTGATTAAAAGCTACTAGAGTAATAGGAATATTTTCCCCAATAATTCTGGTCTGCTTTTACCACCATAGGTGTTCAGTCACACATACACAAAAGTTACTGTTTATGAAAAATCTATTCAAGTTGTTTTAATAATTTCTTACTTTGATTATTAAACATGAAGACCAGAAAATCATTTTAAAACACCCATTTCATCATGTTATTATATGAGGAGCACTGGTGTTATACAAAGATACACCAGGTGGTGGTGGCTTTATAAATTCATATAAGCCCTCTGGTGGATCTGCGGTATGTCTTAGGGCTTATAATTTGGGTTTTGATACCCACGATGGGTAGAGCACAGATAGCTCATTGTGTAGTTAACAACAAAACTAATCTTTTTGGTTATACTTCTGACATTTTTCTACAATAAAAAATTGTTTGAGTTCTTGATAATAGTGGTGTGTTTTTTTTTGTCATTTTGACAGCAGTAACACAAGCCTTGGACTACAATTATGTCTGTGTGACTAGTACGTGCATATTTTTTATAACGCTTTCAAGATAAGCTACAGTAGCAAATAAATTAACAGTTTAAGTCGTGAGCACTGGTGTTGTGCCTATAAGCCTAGGGTGGGCATGGTAACCCTCCCCTCAAATGCTTTCCACACACACACTCAAATCCATGTATAAACATTTGATTAAATATATTAATAATATCTCTATATTGGAAACCAATCAGTTAATCAAAGTAACGGTGGGAATTTAATAATATAAAAGAACACTCGCTCATTATTAACCCAGTATCAACACAAGAATAAATAATTTGATATATATTTGCTGTTTTAGTAATACAATAATTTTCCATTTGTGATTATCATGGTTACTGCTTGTTATTTTACATGTATATGTTTATACCAGTGTTTTAAATGCTAGAAAATTCACGTCCTGGAGTTTGTACTAGCCAACAAAGATGTTTAGGAACATTTGTGACACACACACGAGAACTTGGGAAGAACGTTGTGACGGATTTACAAATAACAACAACATGATGTATAATTGAAATTATTACACGTGTCTTGGTCATAGTTTTTTGCATTTTATTGTCGTGCGGTTTAGACGGCATTAAACATTACCAAGTCATTTTGTCGTTTCTAAATAGGACAGGACTCTAACCTGCGATCTTGCTTACTGGGAAGATGATTCGAATAAGTAAGCCACTCGCCCCCCAGTGGCACAGCGGTATGTCTGCGGACTTGCAACGCTAGAAATCTGGTTTCTATATCCGTGGTGGGCAGAGCACAGATAGCCGAATTGTCTAGCTTTGTGCTTAATTCCAAACAAACAAACAAAGTAAGCCACTCACGGTCTTTCGAATGTTGCCAATCTTGGTTTTCACTACATCGAGATGTAGCTGGATTTTTGTGCTTTGTCGACCAACATAGCAGAGCTAAAAATACAAATATTGTCTTTATGTTTTGAAGTTCGGGTATTACGTATTATATACAGGTTTGGCCCTAGTGATTAGCTTTAGGGCTCAGGCCCGTGAGTTACGTCGAACAGGCTCCGAACTTTCAGCAGAGGGTGCGTTATAAATGAAACAGTAATTTCCGTTATTCGACTTCAAACAAAAAGAGCTGGACAAAGTCTCTGTTGCTATCTGGCTGTCTTCAGTGAGTAGTTTAAAATTAGGAGGACTAGGTCGTACAGCTGGAGGTCTGATGTTGCCCTTTACCCCACGTGCGAAAGAGATGCTGTTATGGTAGGAAACTTCCAGTTCCAAAGATGAACGTGAGAAAATACATAAAATTACAAGTACTTATGAAAGCAACAATACCGTCATTAAGCATGATTGACCTTTGTTCTTTTCTACACGAGACATGTAGGTAGGTTAAAGTAACCTAAGTAGGCACAAAACAAGAGAGTCGTATAGTAATTTAACTAAGCATTAACATTTACGTGATTAAATAGTTTCTTTAGTTACACCCGGCATTCATGTTACCCCCAATGGATCAGCGGTAAGTCTGTGGGCTTATAACGCTAAAAATCGAATTTCGATACCCGTGGTATGCACATCACTGATAGCCCATATTTCAAAAAACGCTCGTGTCAAAAGGCATCATGTTTATTTCGGCGCCTGCGTAGAACGTCTCATTTGGGACTTAGCTTACAACGCGAGTTTCTCGTCGCCATAGTTTGAGACTGTGTTAATATTACCTTGTCGTATTTCAAAGAAAATGAATTCTTTCGGGGTTGATTTTCCTCTGGTTGATAAGGTAGGACGTGCAAAATACTGCGATTAGTAGTAATTCTTAAATCTATAAATAAACGCTTCGTTAGTAAAAATAAAAAACGGAATACTTTGATGTGTAGTTAGTTGAGTTCGACAGAGACTAAGTCCGCACGTCGACGAGGAGGCTAAGTTCACGTTTCTAAAAGTGGTTTTATACATGCTTTTTTATTTAATCCAATGTACAGATTGTGTGTAAAAACTAATGCATGAGATTCCAAGCATTTGTCTATTATCTCACGGTAGAAAAAACTGCTTTTCGATCGGTATTCCTTTATATATTTAACATCTAAAATGACTAAATCTATGTTTTGGGGCGCCTCGTCAGCTGGTTACTAAGTTCTATCATATAAAACGTTATACTACGAGCGTCCATTGCTTCAGATTCTAAGTCCCCGTTCCTCACTTTGTAGTGGTGGTTGTTTTCAGGGCCCAAACACCGAGGCTGTTACACCAACTTGGACTCAAGAAACTGGAATGTGCGATCACGGTAATACATATTAACGTATTCATGGCTAATTAATAATAATTAATTACTCAAGTAACATAATTTATTCTTTAAAAAAGTAACAGTTTGTTTTGTGTAGAAGAAAATTCTTATTGTAAAATAAAAATATTACGTATTAATAAAAATAAGACTTAACTTTAAAATTATTGTGATGTTTTTAAATATATAGAACACCGGTATCAATCCCAATTTACTACATAGAACACCGGTATCAATCCACATTTACTATATAGAATACCGGTATCAATCTAAATTTACTACATGGAACACCGGTATCAATCTAAATTTACTACATAGAACACCGGTATCAATCCACATTTACTATATAGAATACCGGTATCAATCCAAATTTACTACATAGAACACCGGTATCAATCCACATTTACTAT